TCCTCGTAAGTGGAAATTCAATTCTGAGAATTCCTTTCTTGTAGCAAGAGTCAATGCCAGGTAATAGACAAACACCAGCCCAGCAGCCAGGAGAGCCAGGCTTTCTCCTTAACTTCCTGCGTAATTTCAAACAATTATCTTTTCTGGCAGCCTTATTTTCCTCTGCCCACCTTTTGTGTTTTCTAGATACCTGTCATCTGAAAGGACAAGGCCAGTTGTTTTGTGCAGAACCTGGAGTGATTAAGCAACAGTTTTAGTTGGGGCTTTTAAGTAGAAGTAATCTTGTAGCAATTTTGCAGCTAAATCAAAATGAAGCTAGGATGCTGAAAACCTGTAAAGATCAGATACAGAGCTGCTTTTCTTAAAGCATAAAACTAATAAAGATTACTTGTCAATGAAGGAAAAAACAATTGCTGAAAGACAAATCCTCATTTTAAAGATGGAAACAGAGGGATTAACATGCTTGCAACTAAAAAGAGCAATTAAAAATGAAGAAACTTAGCATTAAAGAACCCACAGAAACAAAGTGTCATAAAAGAACTATTTGCATTAAGAGTAGACAGTGATCATGGGGCTTTGGCTGGAATATCCTTTAGTGAATTATCTTCACACAGGTTCTTGAGGACTGTAGGCTTCCCTGTGTCATGTAACGTCAAAAAAAAAAAAAAAAAAAAAAAAAGTTGGAGGTATTTCAGGAAGTTACAGTAAGAAATGTATTAAGTCTTGGAGCTAAAATCCCCATTTGCAGAAATGCTGTCAAAGCCAGCTGAATTGCTTCTGCCAGCTCCCAGCTGGAGGCCAAGACTTCAAAGCATCTGAGGACAGAGACTGTAAGGAGTCCACCTCTCCTGGAGAGATGCCCTGCACAAAGGTAGCTGAGTATGTGCCTGAACACACAGCTCAAACAGGCTCTAAACCAAACTTCCCCCTACTCTCCTCTGAGAGATTTCTTGATAGTGCTGCTTTTAGCAGCTTGATGAGATCCCCTCCAGAAACTGAAGATAATTCTATTTATTTGCTAAGGAGCAGGTTTGGACTAGACTTGTGTGTTTGCGATGCAGGTGCATGGCAACTATGCATCTATTATTTCCTAATCTATTATTTTGAGTGGACAAGTGTGAGTTGGGAGAAGCTGTTTGAAATGAAAGAATTAAGTCAGTTGGAACAATGGAAATGAATGACTTGGAGTTGTCAGCCTACATCCTCATACAGGAGGATGAGAAACTGTCAGGCTTGGAGAGAAATGGATCCCTTCCCAGTGCAGATTCCAGCCTAATAAATTAAAAGGTGAAGAAATTATTCTTCATGTAGCAGATGATTTCAAGCCATCATAAAGTAAATTGATGGCAGAAAGATGCTGGCAATTAGTAGGGGAAATGATCAAAGGATTCCAAGATGTTGTTCTGGAGGTATTTGAGTGTTCTTCCCTCCTGCACAGCTGGAGTCATTAAAACATGAAGTGCAATGTGGAAAACTGTAGGGAGATATGGGGTATGCCCTTAAGGAAAAGGAGAAGGGAACTTCTTCAGCACCTTCATAAAAATATCCACATTTGGAGAAGAAATAGAGTGAAGGAAGAAAACAGCAAATTATTCTGGGGATGAAATTTTGCTGTGCATTTAAGAGAAGGTGACTGCAGTGCATGTTCCTCACTGTCTGGCACCACGGACCTATGTGGTATCTGGCATTTTTCACAGACACTGATAATGAGTGGTGGATGTTGGTGCTTCGATCACTGACACTTCTTAAGGCATCCCACAAGTGTAAGGGGATGTCCTGCTGTGCTGTGCACAAGTCTTGCTGCAGATCTGTCAGGCTCTCTCTTAAACTCCTGGCATCCTGTAGCTCTCCAGGCCAGCAGCTCCCACCAAAACTGGAAGCAATCTCCTGTCTTTCCACATGTCTCAAATCTGTGACAGCCAGGAGAACTCCTGAAGCTGCTTGCACAGGTCCCAAACCTCCCAGTCTGTTCCCTGGTTTGGACTGAGGCACTGTGCTCCACCCATGCCAGGGGATGTGCAGTTATGCTCCTGCTGATGTTGTGCTCCCCATCATTGGGAATTGTGTTTGTGCATCAGACAACTGCACCAAACTGGCTGAGTTTGGAGTGGGAAAAAGACAGGATTTGCCATTAGGAGCTGCAGAGTCCCCAGTCTTCAGCAGTGCAGAGAGCATTTTATTCTTGCTGGGCACAGAGATTTCCTTGTCTAGGAGTAGAAGTTTATTCATCCTTTCACTGTCATCCTGAGGTCTCAGGGTGCAGCTCTCAGTGCTGAAGTCAGTGGCAGCACAGCTGGCAGCCAGCTGTGCTCTTTTGCTGTCCCTGAGCCAGATGCAGAGGGACAACCTCCAAGGTGGCTCTACTGATTCCAGGATAAGGATATTCTGCACTTTTCCCTTGTGGGAGGTGTCCCTGTGCCTGTCTTAGGTGAGTTTTTGTGGACAGAGAGCCACAGTAGGAATGCTTCTGTTCCTTCTTGATTTGGTGAGAGAGTTCTGTTTAGTTAGGATAAGTTTGTAGACTCTCTAAAGATTCTAAGACAGGAATTGTAGTGCTGGATTTGAAAATGCTGTCTGTATATTTTACAGCTTTGGTTTTTGTCCTTCATGCATACAAATGAACGTTTTATATATCTCTGGGCATTCCTTGTGCTCTTAGATATAAAAGCAGGGATGTAGTTAAATGGGACCACCATAAATATGTAACATTTGAATACATAACTATAGAGTCACTAAATAGCTATATATATAATAAATAACTATCTTTTTATAATACCACATATGTATTGGTGGTCTGGATAATTGATTGATAATCAGTTGGCTTCTTTGCTTTTACTTGTGTCTACAACCAATCTCCTCAGAGATAAATCTCAGAAGTGCTGGGGAGGTGGAGGAGGCAGGCACATGCAGAAAGGGAAGGTAGTTTGCACAGAACCATTTTCCTTCCTTTTTATTTCTCTGACAGGTTTTGGATCCCTTCATTTAAGCATTTGAAACACTGACTGGCTGAGGTTCATAACTGCTGATTAATAATTTATATTCATTATTTTCTAGAGATAAATCTTACTTTTTATTCTGAAAACCAACCAACCATCCAAATACAACTGACTAAAACCTAGAAACACTTTGCAAAGAAAATCCAATATTTCTCTCAGAAAGAAACATCTAAAGCAAGAAAGTCAAATTCTGTATCTGACTAGAAAGTTCAGTTAAACACTGACCTTGTCAGCCCACCTTGGCTCTGTGTGGTTGAAGTCACTGGGCTCCAGCCCTGAGTATTCTCTTATGTGGACTTTACTTGTGTGACTTTCTTCCTTTGTCCTGGACTAGAACAGGACTCTCCAGGCACAGCTGACTCTGTATGGGCAGAGCTGCAGTCCTGCTCCTGCAGCCCTTTGCCCTTGCTTAGGAAATTCAGTGTTCAGAGAGCAAACAGGTCTGGCACCTGGCCTGTGTGAGTTCTGTGAAGGCCACTCTGGAGTCTCCTCCCTGTGGTACCTCCAAACAGCCTGGGATAACTCTCTCCACATTTGCTGTAAAACCATCCTATGAGCCATGGTTTCATTTCTGGCTAATGCCCACCTGGTACCGTGTTAATATTACCTGTTCCTGTCAGTGGAACATTTCAGAGCCTAGGCATTACAGGAATTAAAGCTGAGAGCCCTTGTGGAGAGGGCCAGAGAGTCAGGCCTGGCTGAGCTGGACTCAGTTAAGGCCAAAGGAAAACTATGGTCTAAACCACTTAATTTTGTAGGTGCCTGCATGGAAATGAGAGCAACCCTCAGACTCCTCTGAACTGTTTGCTGCACTTGTTCTATTACAGAACTCTGCTGATCTAAACCCAATGCAGTACAAAGCTGTGCTGCAATGAAGTGCTGGGAAACATCACTTTGTGCATTATGTAAGCCCAGCATTTCTGGGGCAAAAATAATCTCAGCATTCTTTTTGCAATATTGACCTGTAACAACAGCAGCACACCACAGGGATTTTCTTGCCAAGCCCACAGACAGCTCACTAACAAATGAGGAGACTGCCAATGCAGCTATACCAATGTCCACATATTTGTACTGCTATTACATATTTTCTGTGACTTGGGTGATGCCAGTTGGGCATCTATTAGGCAGCAGCTATGAATTTTGGAGTTGCTCTTAAGCCCAGTTTAATGTGGTTTCTTGGAGTTTAAGGGACTACCAGGCAATCTGAAAGACAGCACTTGGCATTTACTTGGTTTTGCATTTTCTTCAACTTAACCAACCAAACTCTGCTCTCAAAGTTATCTTAGGTATAGATCCTAAAAATCCCTACTGTGGACAGAAGCTGGTTCTGACTATGAATAATTTCTCCAAGTTTGCTGTCCTGATAGGTTGTGACAGCAAACGTTAAAATGGGTATGATTTCTAGTCTCTGAATGACTGTAGCTGTCTGACTTTGTGTTCCTCCATGTACATTCCAAAGTAAATTAAGGAAACTTCTTGTCTCTTCTTCCTTTAAACTGAGCCTTTAATTGTACAATTTCTCAGCCATGATGGGCATGAACAGTGTTACAAAGTCACACTCTAATTATAACATTCCAGCACAGCTTTTCTTGAGCTGCAGCCCTCGCTCCAAGAGGGCTCTTGGTGGGTTTAATTGTTGAGTGTATTTTTCTCATTATGCATTCTTCCATCCAAGACACTGGACATGCTGCCCTGCTTCTCTGCATGCACGTGGTTTTCTGCCAAAATAGGACCACACGAGGATAATTGGCTCCTATAATGCTGTATTTCCTTTCCAAAAAACCTTCATGTAATGACTACAAAGGCAGTCATAAAAAGGAGAGCAGAAGGAAGCCAAATGTCAGGAATTGTTTTATTTCAATGACTGGAAGTAATTTTTAGCCACATTTGTTTCACTAGTGAGTGCCAAAATGATATCAATTTTGACTGATGTCAGTGTGCTTCATTTACATGACTGCAAAGCGTGCCAATAGTGCAGTTTAAAAAAAAAAAGAGATTACTTACGGAGATTGGAATAATTGCTGCCTATCCCAATACTGATGGAGCTTCCAGAGATGAGAGGAAGATGGAAGAAAATAACTAAAAAGGGAAAAATTAAGAGAAAGGTCATTAATAGCAGTTTGGTTTCATTTGGTACCAGATGTGAGTTGAAGACATGTTGAGTTAAGGTTCACCTGCTCTCTCTGGGCAGGATTGCACATTTGAGACTCCGAGTACACCCACAGAAGTAGCTCAAATGGAGGGAAAATGCCAAATGAACCATTGCTTCATACTTCCAGGAATCCCTCCTGTTCAGGAAATGATATTAATGCCTCTCAGAATCCAAAACCCACGTATAAACAATGTGTTATATAAATATGCTAATTATTGTTGTTAAGTCATTCACCAGTCTCTGAAACAGGCACCTACCACTGTAAAACCAAATAACTTCCCTGATTTGTGTGAGTGAAGTTTGAATGCATCGGGCGTGTGTGCCAAACTGGGTTGGAATAAATTTAGTCTAAAATTTGATACACACACTCCCCCTATGCACTTAGGCTTTAATATTTATAACTTGCTCTTCAAAGATTTATATTTACAGGCAACAAAATGCACACGAGTAAAACGTGTCCTAAATAACTAAATCTTTAGATTTCTTAAAAGATGAGCTCGTTTGCGACTGCAGCCGGATTTAAAGCCCATTTCCCGAGGGTCGCTCGCTGTGTCACAGACTTCGGCTCGGGGTCTCGGCGCTGCCCTGCCCTGCCCGCTGCGCTCCCACCGCGGGCACGGCCGGGGAGGGGCTGCTCCCTTTTCGGGAGGGGACCCGGCCCACACAAAGTTTCGGGCAGGGTCCCTTGGGCTGCGGGATCCCCGCACCCGCGGCAGGGCGGCAACCCACGGGCTCCCGCGGCTCCTCAGAGCCTGCCCCGGGTGAGATCTGCCCCTCAGAACCTACCCCGGGTGAGATCGGCTCCTCAGAACCTACCCCGGGTGAGATCGGCTCCTCAGAGCCTGCCCCGGGTGAGATCGGCTCCTCAGAGCCTGCCCCGGGTGAGATCGGCTCCTCAGAGCCTGCCCCGGCTGAAATCAGCTCCCCAGAGCCTGCCCAGGCTGAGATCTGCCCCTCAGAACCTGCCCCGGCCGGCTGAAATCGGCTCCCCAGAGCTTGCCCCACCCGGCACGAATCGGTCCCTCAGAGCTTGCCCCACCCGGCACGGCTCCTGACAGCCTCACCCCGCACGGATCGCCCCCTGCCTTTTACCCCGGCACGGCTCACGCCTTTCCCCAGCTTGGTTCCTTCCTCACCCCGGCTCGGCTCAGCTCTTGCCTTTCCCCGGCTCGGTTCAGGCTTTTCCTTTCCCCAGCCTCTGCCCTACCCCATCTCAGCCCCCGCCTCTCCCCAGCCGCTCCAGCCCCTGCCTCCCCTCAGCCCGGTTCAGCTCTCGCCTTGCCCCAGCCGCTGCCTTTCCCCAGCCCGGCTCAGCCCCTGCTTTCCCCCATGCCGCCCTGCCCTGCCTTACCCCAGCCCGCCGCCGTGCCCGCTGTCTCCATCCGCCCCCGCCGCGGCTCTCCGGGGGCTGGCGGGGGCCCGCCGCCCCCCGCCGCGCGCCGGGGC